GATGCTGGTTGTTGAGCGATAGGAGGTTTTAGTCGGTTCGACTCCGACATACCCCGCCCGCCATCCCCAGTGGAGGGATTTCCTCCTGACAAAAAAAAAATCTAATGGTTAAGTTTAAAACAATTGTTCTCATTATACAACAACGATAAAATTTATTTATCTGTTTTGTTGTTTATAGTTACGGATGGAAAATCTCATATACCTTGCCGGGCTATGGGCGTCCTTATAAAATATCGTACGCACGTTGAGTTCGACGATATACGAGTGTTGTTATGTTACGAATGGGCAATTTGCCGATAAATATATTTCCGTTTCTGGGATAAAAACGTTTTCAGTTTGATAGGGAGAAACGTATCGAATGTACTGGAATGTTCTTGTCTCGCTTCTAAATTTGATTTCTGTTGGTCATAAGACGGACCGTTTAAAACGTTTCATGAGTTTAAATACTCCAAGCCGAGTATTGTATTTTCTGTCATTAGTAGAGTTCCGTCACAGAGTAATTTATTTCCAGAGCGTCAGTAATTTATGTTTCTTTGTTTGGTCTTGATGAGAAAGAAAATGAGCCTTTAGTAGATTATCAAAAACGTTACAGATCATGAAAATATCTAGCATAAAAATGGTTTTTTGTTTAATTGCGATTATCTGATTATAATTTGTAATTGATAAGACAATGTTAATTGGATTTGATCGATGTTCTTTGATTTTAAAGGAACGAGAAAATATCGTATGAGAAATAGAGGTATAAATAGGCTTTAGTTGAAAAGGAATTGGAGATATTACTCGATTATGAATAGGCAACGACCACTATTAGCTTCTACTTTACTGATATCCACGAGTGACCGTCAGGCTAACATACCATCACGTCGTAAGCTCGTCTGCCTATATTGGCAATAGAGAAAAACATAGAGCAATAGAGGCAAAGATAATTATGAAAGTGTTGTAAATAGGAATTATATTAATTTTATTTAAAAGATATTGAAGTACCAAATGATTCTAGTATTTGATACAAAACAATAAGTTAATTATTAATGGTGTACGTCAAAAGATCACCACGGGTTAAATTTTATAGGACGAAATATACGAAAGGGAAAAAGTAATCAATAATACACGGTTATGTATTTTTTTAAATAATTAAACTCGATTCCGTGTGAAAAATGAAATTGAAAATATTGAATATTATTTTTGCATATACCGTGTTACAAATCTACCTAAGCCCACGAAAACACTGTTAAAAATAGAAATGAGATCTCGCTAAAGTCCCCGACAAACGGAAAGCTCAAATAGAAGATATTACCCCCTGCGCACTGTATTTACGAGTGAGAAATAACAAGTATCGAAGGTTTTGCCCGACTCGGAACAATGAAAAATGACCGACGGAAAATTGCAAGGATTCCACTCGATCCGGCCGGAGATGCCATGCGATCTGTTCTTGAGATGACTGCAGGGGTGGATTCTACGTGTAATTGATTTCGTAGTATACGATGAAGGGCACCCACGAGTAGTATTGCAAATGCATTAATTGCATTTTTTTAGACGTTATTATGCTCGTAGCCACAATGGTCGAGACAAACTCACGGTCTGCTTAGTATTGAGGGAATGTTTGGGAAGACAGATGAAATAATGTTAATATCGCCACTATCCACAAGACATGAGTCCGATTTCTTAATTCATTTGGGAACTGACACAAAATGAATAGCAAATACTTTTTAGAACACGTTCTAAAGCGCCATGTAATTTTTCTTTTTATACTGGCAACGAAATGACTCATGTATCGGATTCCTTTCTCATTCTTTTGTATGCAAAACAATGTTACGCTACCACTAAATAAAATCTGTTTCCACTCAAATCTTGCCAAGTTCCTCGTGCGACATAATTTGCGTCATGCCTTGCGGCGGGCCTGTTTCGTCGCGCACTCTATTTTCCTATTTGTGCGGCAGATTGGCTCTGATTGTATTGTTTGCGGCGGGGCGGGGCGATACGATACCCACCCCCGCTCACACGACCACCCCGGAGGGGTGCAGCCGAGCGGAAAAATGTTATCCGCCAAGCGAGATATTTGTATTGCTATAAATATTTGACAAGTGTGTTTAAATTTGTCGTCTAGCGGTTGACTTGCGAACAGATTGTGGCAATTTAAAATTTATTTGCAGGATTCGCAACTTGGAAATTATTATTTTTATATGGAAAACTAAATCTATTATTATAAGGGACTTGTCACCCGATAGCGATTAAACTTGAAGTTTAATGCGATTAAAATAAAGATAATCTATTTAATCATAATAACTCTGATAAAACAAACAAAAAAAAAAACAAAAAAAAGTTAAACTACTCACCCTCAATAAAAAATATTTCAAATCACCAATTTATATACGAACACTTTTCAATACGTACGACACAGTATAAACAAGTAACGGTAGGTAATGTCGCCCGACCAAGATAACTTTTATAAGCGCGAAATTGTGTTTATGCGGCCGTGTGTCGCGATTCACAGACGACGCCCGCGACGGCCCGCGTAATCGGAAATATTGCTATAGAATAACGTTAGGGTAAGGCTTTAGTGTTGAGAAACAGAGACGAATTAACAATACGATTAATGTTTTGTTCTTTTGATTAATGGGAGTGGACTTGGTGGAAGTACGTCATAAATGAATGGAATTACCGTTCGTGAGAGCAATAATTCAGCTTTCACCAAATTAAATGTTACTCGTAATTATAAAACGTCAAAACCTTAACGCTTAAAAGAACTTTGAATGTGAATAAAATCAGCGATTTGTCACTAAATGGCTATCTAATCGATATGTTTCATGGACAAGGTTTAATGACAGTGAAATAATTCACCGTGCATCAAGGTAAGTTGGTAAATAAGTTATAGAGCATTTAGTCCCTCTATGTAGGTTCCGTTTTTCTTTATATTACCGGCTATTGTCGGTTATGGGTATTAACAGTATCAGGGCTGTTTACGGCTGAGTCTGCTTACTCTCTGAAAACCTCGTTTGAAGAAGCACTTTATAGCGCTCACTGTGCAATAAACGCTTTCACAGTGAAAGGGATAAATATACGAATATTTATGTATAATGCGGGCTAAAACTGAAACTCGCTACCGCTTATGTCCGAGACCGATCGAGTCGAGTATTATTGTCGATCCCATCTCGGTCGCAGTCGCGTAACAAACTAGTAATTGGTTTGGGATTGGCCCCACCGTTCCGCTAATAATGTTTATCTATGTGATACTTCTTCAAAGTAGTAACATGTGTAAGCTAAGAGTTTGTGATTGATAAATCATAAAAATCGTTCTTTAAATTTATATTTTGTTTTTATAAGTTTGTAAATGTCATTAAATGAGAAATACTTTAACGATTCGTGTTTATTCCTTGAATTGTATATACATATTATATAAACACCATAATATATATATTTCTATATATATAATCTATATACATAGAATATTGATAAAATAGGTATATAGGTAGGTAACCAAAAATACTCCTTGGACAGATAAACATTATTGGATAGTAAACAGAATAAGCTAAAAATGCAAATATTCTAATTATATATAACCGAACTATGGGAACCCTAGTAAATTTAAAAAATAAAATAAAAATTAATGAATAATGAGAGAATATCTATAAAAATAAACATATTATATGATATTGTAAACTTCATGCCTAGTAAATTAAATATACTATTCATACTACTCCATGCCATGCTACGGTCTTACGAATATTCGTAGAGCCTCTACATGAGTCTACGACACAGGTCGGAGCTACGAAGTTTCGCTACAATTTAACTACGGCTATTTTAGTCTTGTTGGACTTGTGTATTGTGAGATCCGGGTTTGATTCAGTAATTAGTATTTATTGTAAATGTTTTTAACAATAAGACTATCCGGATGTCTGCGATCTGTATGTAACACAAGACAATATCTCAAATATAAATTTGGTATATCATAATGTTTTAGTCGCTGTGATTCGATCTTATCAAGCGATGCGACTATGTTAGTACTAGCTGACATGTACTAGTTTTTATAATGAAACACGTACTTATGGATGACTTCCATGATGAAGGAATAATATTGTGGAATAAAAATTAAACCCGTCATTTCGCAAACGCGCAAATCAATTATTCGCTCATAAAACGGTATTTTGTAAGATCGCGGGGTATAGATACCATCCACCCTGCTCTTTTTCTGGCGCCAAATTTTTCTTTATTTTTTTATTACTTAGATGTGTGAACGAGCTCACAGCCCACCCGGTGTTAAGTGGTTACTGGAGCCAATAGATATCTACAACGTTAATGCGCCACCCACCTTGAGATATAAGTTCTAAGGTCTCAGTATAGTTACAACGGCTGCCCCACCCTTCAAACCGAAACGCATTACTGCTTCACGGCAGACTGCGGACTCACAAGAGGTCCTACCACCAGTAAAGAAGTTATAGTTATGAGTTCTGATTGTAAGGGTTAATTAGGGATACGTAGTAGTAAACTATATGATTGATAAATAGACGTAATATCTGTGGGTAGGCGGTGATATTCGTGTCCTTATTTGTTTGGGTTCCGGTAACCACTGAACATTAGATAGGGAGCTCGCTCACCCATCAACGGAATGAAAGAAAAAATATAATTTTACACACAATGCAGTCATTTACCCATACCGTGCGGCAAGTGGCCGGCTCTCCGCTCAGAGTCGCGTCGCTTTAACGATGTAGTTTCGCCGCAATCGACTTTAAAGACCACTCCACCACGTCGCGACACTCACGCCTGTAATTATACAGCACGTATACACAAAATTCGATCCTCAGAACACTGTAGTTAAGGCTCAATTTTGTATTCGCATTACGGTAACATGTTACCAATTTGATTTGCAGCACGAAAACGTATACGAAACAGCAGCTCTTATTGTTATGTGAAATAAGGTTTTGATTAGTGGGTGCACACAGTAAAATAGTTACCGTCTAGTCTGCGACTAAAAGTTAGAAGATTTGTGTTTTCTCTTGTTTCAGGTACACAAAGACTTCTTCGGTCGTATAGTTCCGCTGTCACAAGTCAAGCGACAAGGTAAGAACATAATAATTATTGTAATAGAAATTTGATTACAACCTTCAAATCGTTGTGTGGGTGTGATGTGTGTTGATATAGGTTGTATTCTTAGTATTCTTATGCCACAACAAAAAATAAAATATTAAACTTATTTTTTTTTATTGCTTAGTTGGGTGGACGAGCTCGCGGCTCACCTGATGTTAAGTGGTTACCGGAATTATACGGTATTCGAACACCGATGCATCGCAAGATACGAATGTACCGAACGTCTTATCATTTAGGCCACGACGACTTCAGTAAATGGGAAATGCCTATAGAATTTGTCGTAACACTGGTTCGATAAGTTTTAATTTTATATATCACTTTGCTAGATTTTAAAATTCGATGTATAAAAAATTCTATTATTTTTTAAGAAATCACTGTTACTAACATTAATATGGATTTATTTTTTAATCAAAAAAGAAAATTAGCATTCTGCACCCCTTCTCTATGTTCTCTATAAGTGTGGGAATTTTCATATTTCTCCGTCTGCGCAATTTTCGTAAAAAGGGGTACAAAGTTTTTGCTTCACGTATTAATATATAGATAATAAATCGATTAAGCTCGAATTAAGTTCAATAAGTAAACGTCTCGAATCACTAATCATTATAATAATCTACTAGCAAAGTTCACTGGCGATCCTCTAAAATGTATTTCAAATGTGATTCGGACGAGTATCCCTGCGGGCCGCATTATCGCGTAACCGTAATCACGCGTCGCGTCGTAACCCAACCTATTATTTTCAATTACAGCGCCGCGCGAAAGGATTGTTAATATCCATTTGAACGACAACCTCTGTAGCGCACCTGAGTCCGGCCCTCTCCGCAGCTCTCGATAGGCCCGCGCTAAATTGTTTTTAATTTCGTAAAGTCATCCAATCGCCACGAATGCGGCTATGTACAAGCAACGGCATACGTTATTTTATTCCGTTTTGTAAAAAACAGAAATAAATCTATCTAGATATTAATAATACGTGAAACAAAAACTTTGTATCCCTTTTTACGAAAATTGCGCGGACGGAGGAATATGAAATTCTCCACACTTATACAGAATATAGAGAAGAAGTGCACAATGCTAATATTTTTTAAAATAATGCATAAAAGATACATTAAATCAATAAAGAAAACATTACACACACTACATACCATGTATTTGACGCACACACGCATGCATACTATTTATTGTCAAAAATTTGTTCTTGACGTCTGTTGTCAAATTGAGAATAGATTAAATATTGTTTGTCTTTGTTAATATTTTTTATAGTGTCGTCTTGGCGAAATTTGTGATTATAGAAGTATAAAATACAATCATAATAATGTACAAACTTACAATTCCAAATAATTATAGTCGAATTTCGACTACTGCGGGACCTCTAGTATATATAAAAATGAATTGCTGTTCGTTAGTCTCGCTAAAACTCGAGAACCGCTGGACCGATTTTGATAATTTTGGTCTTTAATTATTTGTGGAAGTCCTGAGAAGGTTTAAAAGGTAGATAAATATGAAAATGGTCGCAATTAAATAAAAAGAACAATTTTGTTTTTCCTTTGATGTTGTCTGTCCCCCGTCGGACGGATTCCTTTTGTTTGTTTTAAGTTTATTTTGTACAAAAGTTTAGGTCTTTTATTTATCGATTAAGGCACTACGAAGTTTGCGGGGTCAGCTAGTTTTAAATAAATAATTGTAGCGATTAGATCAGCGAAGGAATAAAGGAATTGAGTCGCATTTTTTTAATCCGCGAATAATGAAAACGCTAATGAAGAAAGCGTGAATAAGAAAATTTGACTGTATTTAAAAAAATCGTCTTGAAGAAAATTGGCGCAATTGAACATGGATCCTGCCATTATTATCACGAGGCAATTACGCCGGTTGAAATTATAGTAAAACTCTTATTCCAATGCTATAATAGAACAGGAGATACCTATTTGATAAATGCCTAAATCGCGCTAACAACATTCTCAAGATAAGCTTGAGTGTATGCAACTTAGGAATAGCAATACTCGGACCGTCTGTCTTCTCAAGAAAGATATCATATGTAATGAAATATTGAAAATAGAAGAAGCCCGCAGAGCAGATAGCATCATTATGCCTATTTCTGCCGCGGAGCTTTCATGCGTACCCATTCAAAGGGTGGAACGTTTGCTAAACAAAAGTAATTTAACTTTCAATTCTATCACCTCGTAATAAATGCTACTAAAATGTAGTTGTATTAACTCATAATTATCATTTATCATTCGAGCATATCGTTAACATCGACCGGTAACCCCTCCCCCCGCTGCCCCGCTCTGCCCTCCCCTCGCCCACAACGATTCTCGTTAAGGTGACTGTTTAATAATCTCAACGCGATTTGTAATGGAATTGAGCTGGAATTCGCTCGAGACGTCTCTCAACTTGCGTTATTGTTTTTGCAACTGAGTACCGTTGGCAAAAAAGATTATATTGTATCCAATTGAATTTAATGTGAGCAATTTTCACCTTTTCAGGGTGAACTTTATGTTGGGTGGCTGTCGAAACCATAGACACCGTATTTAGAATGCTACAGCAAGAGTGTCATTGCCTCCAAAGTACCCATCCGTCTAGGAAAATCTAAAAATAAATCGGCCAACACTAAGCTTAATGGTACTAATGACACTAATGCTCCATCGTTCTCAAATCTCTAAACTATGCTTATTACTTACGGAATTACGCTCTTCTCCCTGTAGAAAAGGATGAGTGGAATATTAGCTGCATTCTAATCTGACAAAACCTTTGATTGGGCTAGTTTTTAATGAGCTGTCTTGAGTGTAAGGAGAAGATGAAGGAATTTGTAATACATATTACTCGGTGTACCGATAGATCGTATAATACTATTAATAGTTTTCCGTCCGGCGACACCGCATATCGTGAGCATCGAAAATCATGCAAGAAAGGGAACAGTCTGCGAAACATCGTGCCACATGGCGTCGCATCGCGAGAGCATCTGTGTAGCATGATTCGACTGATGCATGACCACGACCACCCTGTAAAGAGTGAACGACTAGGAAGAAGGGGAACAGAGCTAAGAACTTATGAGAACCTAACAATGAGATGGGGGTCAAGAACGGTCGGCGACGAACCAAGTAATCCGAGACGTGTAAACGGCGAAGTACTATGAATTTACATAGCGTACATCGTGTTTGTGTCCGATTTCGTCTATTCGCTGACAGCTAACGTGAAATGTATTTTCGAGTCCTCACGACTGGCTAGGTATTTTCAATCAACAACCGATTCGTTCTGAATGCCCCCGGACCCTTCGTACTCCATCAGCATTTCGGTTATCTGACAGAGACGGAAAACTGTGTACGCTTGTTGTCATTTCACATCAGAGAAGGTTATATTGAAAAAAAAGTGGTTCCCAACTATGTTTTATGTTAGCATTTTCTTTGATATACTTCAAAGGTCCGTTTTAAAAAACAACGAAACATGATAAGCCGATGTTATAGCACAAAAAAATTAGTATATTTAAAATAGTTGTTGGAACTCCTTCGTCGGTACACGTTCGGAACTAATTCGTGAGTTAGCCGGGTAGTATCGTCGTCGTAAATGAATTGTTCCCGGGAGCGGAATCGACTCCTCTGTTTGATTAAGCCAAACGCTAATAAAGTTCTCTCGTTGTGATAACGCTCTGATTATTAATACGCTATCGAAACTCTGTTACGTTCATAATTTTGGTTTTGTATTTATCTTTCTTGATATTTAATGTGTTTAATATTGTAATTTAAATAATGTGTTGTATTTTTGTTTACTGATTTAACGTTGGGCAATTGGGCGTAGAAATTGGTGATTGGTGGTAGAAATAAAGATACACCACAACGTCACAAGAAATAAGGATACACCAAATCTTTCAAGGTGTGTGGCGCATTTACGTTGTGGATGTCTATGGGCTCCAGTAACCACTTAACACCAGGTGGGCTGTGAGCTCGTCCACCCATCTAGGCAATAAAAAAAAAACGATATGTTGAATTAAAATGTAAAAATTTAAGTTACATATTTAAATAGGAATAGATGTGACGAAAACTATTTTGTTTGAATTCAAAAATTCAATTTGTTTTATATACGAAACATAAATTTACGTTTCGTAAATATTACAAACCATGAAGGATTCGATAATATTCAAAAAAAAATATTTTCTCAAATAACTTTTACGCCGTTCTCGAATTTTAGCGAGACTAACGAACAGCAATTCATTTTTATATATAGAAATTTATATTTTGATTGGAAAATTTAAAGTATTTTCTTGGGTTTTCGCGATTCGCAGACAGGAATTAGGGAATTAAACAAATTTTTAAGTTACTAATTTTCGTACCTAAATAACCTAAATAATATTAGAGTAATTTTCAAAAAGTCTAGAAAAGAAACTTAAGCGTATATCATTGCTTAGATGGGTGGACGAGCTCACAGCCCACCTGGTGTTAAGTGGTTACTGGAGCCCATAGACATCCACAACGTAAATGCGCCACCCACCTTGAGATACAAGTTCTAAGGTCTCAAGTATAGTTACAACGGCTGCCCCACCCTTCAAACCGAAACGCATTACTGCTTCACGGCAGAAATAGGCAGGGTGGTGGTACCCACCCGCGCGGACTCACAAGAGGTCCTACCACCAGTAAAAACAAGTATGATTATATGTAGCAATGCGAAATATCAACAGCACAATTTGTAATTAACTCGTGTAAACATGGCTTCAACGTACGAGTGAGTGCATTCGAATTGTTGAGATCCACATCGACGTCTGTTATGTTAATATTACCTCATTTATGAAATCTAAAGTAAACTAAATATCTGATCTAGTGAAAAACGAACGTGCTGCTTTTTGACTATTCTTAATATATCGCCGGAACAAAGCGGAATTGTCGTAACTTGAAAAAACACCAGAGCCATACGTATAATATAATATGGTAAAAAGTGATTTAGCTTAAAATGCAAGTTACGACATTTTCGCTTTCTCCAGTCAATATGTATAAAAGCAAATTATAAGTGTAGCGTATTTTCGCCATAATAATCCATTCAATTTTTCATGAAAACTTTGTCGTGGCCTAAAAATATATCACATGATGTAAGGTTTACGCCCGGTGCATTCGTATCGAGGATGCGACTCGGCCGGTGTTCGAATTCCGCAGAAAGGTACAAATGTTCACGAATGACTTCCACGCTGAAGGAATAAGATCGTGTATTAAAAATCAAACTCACTAAAATTATAATTGCGTTATTACTGGTGGTAGGACGTTTTGTGAGCTCGCACGGGTGGATACTACCACCCTGCCTATTTCTGCCGTGAGCAGTAATGCGTTTTGGTTTGAAGGGTGAGGTACGTAGCCGTTGTATTGTAAAAACGGAGACTTAGGACTCATGTATCAAGATGAGCGGCGACATTGATGTGGTTGATGTCTATGGGCCCCGGTGACCATTTAACACCAAGTGGGCCGTGAACTCGCTCGTTAGCAATTTTTTTTTAAATTGGGTCAACTTTACGTATTTCTGTCGTCGGAAGTAAAAGTTTCAAGAATTTGGAATAGCCCAATGGGCTACCAGTGCTTAGGTAGAAAATATCCCTAATAATCTCCTTTTTTTTCTTAAACAGATGCTTTGCCGGATGTTATATCTTCCAGCAGCGTATTCTACCAGTACAGAGAAGGCTTCAACAACGCGGTCAGAAGAAAAGTTCGCCTCCGTGATTTGCTGTAGGCTATGGCTGTCGTAACCTAATCTTTTGACAGCTGTCAAATATGTCAACCATAATGTAAAATATAGCGTTTGTAAGAAATTTATAAAATGAAATGTATTCTGTAATTGATTGTGTTTATTATTCAATCAAAAGATATTGAAAGTGAAACAACTTGAGTTCGTCTACTTTGAACATTTGAATTCTAGTTTTTGTGAAGTTTAACTGGACCACCCACAATCCCTCCATAAAAAAACACATTAGAATTGAGACTTCGACGCAATGTCTGAAGGTGAGTGAGAGAGAGGATTAATATTATAATCAAATGGAAAAAAATACATCTTGCGTCTCAACTCATTAGACCACGAACGCTTCTACGGACCGTTTTCCTTTACAGACATCAATCAGTTAGAATTATGTAATCTGTTGTCTTTCTGATTAGTTTAAATTATATTAGCAATGTACCTTTTCAGCTTTGATTGTCAATCGATTTCTTTTGTTAATTGTTATTAGTTATTGACGATATAATAGAGTGCTATCAATAAAATATTTGCAAACAGTTTTTTCCCCATCATTACTGGATATTAATACGTGAAGCAAAAACTTTGTATCCCTTTTTACCAAAATTGCGCGGACGGAGGAGTATGAAATTTTCCACACTTATAGAGAATATAGAGAAGAAGTGTACAATGCTAATATTTTTTTTTAAATAATGCATAATAGATACATTAAATCAATAAAGAAAACATTACACACACTACATACCATGTATTTCATGCACACACGCATGCATACTATTTATTGTCAAACTTTTGTTCTTGACGTCTGTGGTCAAATTGAGAATAGATTAAATTTATATTGTTTGTCTTTATTAATATTTTTTTATAGTGTAGCCTTGGCGAAATTTGTGATTATAGAAGTATAAAATACAATCATAATAGTGTACAAACTTACAATTCCAATAAATTATAGTCGAATTTCGACTACTGCGGGACCTCTAGTTACTGGAAAAATGTCAATGGCCTAAAATATTAAATATATGAAATCATAAAACCTACACAAAATAAATCGATATCTGGAGGTGTCAGTCAATTCGATTTTTAGATCACTTTGTAAACACTAGTCCCTAAATGAAACCAAGTAAATACAAACCGCAGTAAATAATAAAGTTCCGCGAATATCCAAGTTAGTCAAGTCTGTTTGTTCAACACCTGCGTCTGTAAGAACTTTCACTATAAATCCGTAATGCGAGACTTGTACTCGTCGTTTTGAATGAAATATCGTTTTAACTCACCGAAATGAGACTGAGGAAGTCCGTTTGTTTGTTCATTATAATAAGAGTATGCGAACGAAGATGAGGTTTTAGCACTGGAAGCTAACAGTAGTTAGTACTGCTGACTGCAGGCCCAAGGGTCGTGGTTTCAGTTCCCAGTTTGGCAGACATACGTGTGACAAACAGTTTAGTTTGTTTTTTTTCTGTGTATTGAAACATATATGTACTAGAGGTCCCGCAGTAGTCGAAATTCGACTATAACTAATTGGAATTGTAAGTTTGTACACTATTATGATTGTATTTTATACTTCTATAATCACAAATTTCGCCAAGACTACACTATAAAAAATATTTAATCCCAATTTGACAACAGACGTCAAGAACAAAGGTTTGACAATAAATAGTATGCATGCGTGTGTGCATCAAATACATGGTATGTAGTGTGTGTAATGTTTTCTTTATTGATTTAATGTATCTTTTATGCATTATTTAAAAAAAATATTAGCATTTCTTCTGCACTTCTTCTCTATATTCTCTATAAGTGTGGAAAATTTCATACTCCTCCGTCCGCGCAAATTTCGTAAAAAGGATACAAAGTTTTTGCTTCACATATTAATATATAGATAATTCTGTATATGTATAATTAAGTATGTATATTAGTCTCTGGTTCCTGTAGTACAGGGAGTCCTAATTTGGAGCCAGAAGACCGTGTGGGATTTGGTCCCAATTTATTTACCTGTATGTTTTTTGGACCGTCTTTAATTGCATCATGTGGTCGATTCTTGGTCGATGTGCTTATCTAGTGTATGTTGCTAATCTCCACTGAATACCATTCGGCCATTTGTTAATTTGGGTGATTAATATTTGTGTGGCCCGATGCTTGCAATCGAACTAAGTAACTAACTTGTATACTTTTCGTCATGACTTATGCAAGGGTAGTGTTCGCTGACACGACCCGCATGCACATAAACATAGCCGTCAAAGCATCGTGGTACGTAAGAAAGGTCGACCTTCACGATTCTTTAATATTTAGATCAGATACGTAAATATTTTAAAAAGGCGTCAGAACGCTTCTTCGACAAAACGGCGAGACACGAAAACCCTCTTACCGTGGCTGCCGTTAATTACATATCGGACCCAAGCGACAGCGACAGGCAACGCAAATCCGCCATCACCCGAAACATATTTTGTTGGATACCCGGATCCACTCTCGGTGCTTTTAAACCGTTCATGCACCTGTCACCGTCCTCGTCAAACTCGTCGATTACGACGAAAAGTTCGACGATCAAAGAAATCCATAGACATTGCACATTGATCTTCTCAGAGGATCACGATTCCGATCAGGTGGTAGATTCGCTGCGAATTACTGCTCTTTCTATGGTTGATTGGTTGCAAATTCTCTCAGGTTGAGCCCGTGAGCTCACCTACCCGTCCGCGCGTAGCTAGAATAGCCACAGGCTACCAGCGGATAGGCAAGAAAAAAATATGTTTTTCTCGTGTGAGTCAGTACCTACGTCTATTTCTGGAGCAAAGTAGTGATGATTTTGTTGGTAGTATTGTAGTTATTAGAACGCAATTGAATTTAATACACAATGTTATTCCTTCACTATGGGAGTCATTTGTACGTGTTTTATTATGAAAATTGGTAACTGCCTGTGGGATTCCAACGAAGGTACAGTTGCATAGCTCGATATGAATGCACCGGATATGTTATTTTTTTTTTTAGGCCACGACGAATGCAAACACAAATCAAAATCCACCCTGTACTTCTATTGTAGAATAAGTTTAGTTCTACTTTTTTGTTGGCAAATTGTCATTTCATTTCTCAATACTTGTTATCTCTGCACGAACAACATTTGAAGTAACAAACAATAAGTATAATTTTTGCACAATTCTTCTGATTCCGTCTTAAGTAATTGTTTCGTTAATGAATATTTCATCTCATAGAAACTTTACTCATAAATATGTCAACGACAATATTTATGAATTTCAAAGTTTCCAGATTATGTTATTGATGTGTTTATTGCTCTTGTGTGAATGTAATTGTACTATTGACGACTACGTGGTGTTACCTAAGATTGACAAACTGATTGGTTCGAAGCATGTTTGATGAAAAACCACGGAGATTTTGCTGTAGTATCGTTTTAATATCAATAGTTTATAATATACTAAGGTACTCTACTCCTCCTCTTTGTGTCAATAATCCTCATTGCTGAAGGTCGTGGACACCTTTAATAACTTTCTGCTGCGTTACTCTGCGTCTACCCTGCCTATCCTCAGCTCGGCGGATTGCATCGTGTTAAAAGTAGAGCGTATCTGATTCGACTAGCTCATTTTACTTCTGCCTCTGGGCCTTCTTCAGCATACATTGCCTGTTACCAGTATGTTCTTAGGTAAAAGACTATCCTTTCTCAATCTTAACTTTTAAGGTCACCGCATACGCGTATAGGATAGCCCCTCTTTCACGAATTAGTTAATAAGTTCGGCTTTTCCCAGACATACCTTGTGCCATTTTTTTTTATCCTTTCATCGCCATAGGTGTGATCTGTGTATAATTTTAAGGAAATACTTTTTTTTGTCTACTAATCTGCCATTAATTTAAGGGGTTAATCTATCTTCACTATGATTGGTAGGCCAGCTCTTGGGACTCAGAGAAGGTATTATTTTGTTTTTAGCTTTTTTAAATATCACGTATAAAGGTGACAAAGGTTCTGTTTCATGAGACCGATGTCAACACGTGTACAATAACTACCGCAACTGACAAGTATGAACATACCTTTGCCTATCTAAGCATAAGTTTTCGTTTAAAAAGTGTTTTGATATACGAGTATATAATATATAAGTTTTCGTAATATAAGTATCTTATGAACTCTGTTGTTGCTGGAAGATGAACTTCGTGTTCCTTCCAAACCTTTCGTATTCTCTGAGTTCGAGAACTACACAAATAAACGTATGTTGGAACCATGAAATACACAATTTCTGTAACACAGTAATGCTTTTCGATTTGAAGTGTTGTACAGCCGTTGTACTGTAAAACTGAGACTTAGAACTAATGTCTCAGGGTTTCTGTATTAGTGGTTAGTGACTAGCTCTATTTACGTTGTTAATGTCTATTGGCTTAGGTAACCACTTAACTACTACTAGAACTATAACTAAATACTAGTTCTTTTGAGGAGTTGGATAAAAGTTATACAATATAACTGAGATAAGCTGTCCTAGGGTGAGGGCTCTCACTCACATCGGATCTATAAGCTCGGATGAATTGGTAAAATTCAAGGCTATTATTAGCTTATTAAATATAGCGCATGTGACAATTATATTGAAACAATGCATGAAATTATTTCATAATTTAAATCGATTGAAACATTTAAAGGTGTATTTTAAGGCACTGAATAAAACATAAATCGTAAATTTTCCGTAATCATTTATTTGTTACATTATCGTGGCAACTAATGACGTAGCTAAATTACATTATTACACTATAACTAACTAACTATACGTAACATGGCGCCCGCAAACAATTCCACATATCGTGCACGATGCAGCGGTTAATATTTTTGTTTTATTTACACACACGGCGCGGGCTGACCAAATCTCTCAGACGATCTGTGTGCTTAGTGCAAGTTTTTTAAAGTTCTCGATAGCGTAAAAGTTAACTCGTATGCAGTTGGAACAGCGCCCCTAGCGGCAAACGTAGGCAAACGTTCTAACTGCATACAAACTTGAGTTAACTTTTACGCTATCGAGAACGTTAAAAAACTAGGACTGAGCACACTGCTCTTAAATTTAATTACTACATTGACTGATTAGTTCGGTTTTCCGCAGAGAATTTGTTTTAAAAAAAAACCCACACTATTGTTCGTTCATCTGCTTTAAAACGGGATTTATTGGAGTCATAATTAAAATTGCATTTACCGTCCGTAAACTGTAATGTATTCGAAGCGCCAGAAATAATGTAACGACAGTGAAAAAAAGTGAGATTTAACCGTAAAAGTACCTTTAATTACGACTCTCTTACACCTACAGGTTACAATACATTGAAGGCAGCAGAAGAGAAGATTTATTTCTATTCTCATTAGTTCGTTCGTGTGAGTGATCGAATGATGTGTGTCGTTGGAATCGCACTGTATGTCGGGTTATGTAATATAATTTTTTTAATAATCGACTGAAAACACTTGAAATTCACTCTTCTAATTTTCTTATTACAATTTCTTTGTCAATAGGCTTTTTTTGGCGGGAACGCGAGGAGTGAGGTTGTGTGATTTGTTTTATTTTGTATAATTAGTGTTTCTTCAAGTTTAAATGTGTAATAACAGTGGCTTATTAACTGTTTATTATCTGTGAAAGTGCAGAAATGTGAGAAAATGAAACAAAGCCGCTGGACGTAGCTTCTCGGGAACCTCCAAAAAGCCCACTTAAAAAGTCTCAGTTAATAGCCACCATTTTACTGAGCTTATATTTCATTCCATACCATCTTATCTCATCTCATTTTATTTCATAATATAATTTGACATTTAAAAAAGTTTTCATTAAAATTAAAATAAGACTTGACCTAAAGGTCTTAGTTACCAGGTCATAAAATCCCTTAAAAAAAGTAAGGAAGTAGTTTAATTGTCAGAATTGTGGATTACGTATATACAGGGTAGAGCAGATCGTCTGATAGAACTGGTTGTAATAATATTATATATATTTAATACTACACTAATATGAATAGTGACTGTACATTTATTAATATAAAATCGTTTTGAAGTCACGAAAAAATTCATTGTAATATATACGCTACGTGACTATAACTTTATTAATTAGTATTATAACTCACTGAAATGTTTTTTTTTTTTCATAAATTTAAAATCTAAAAACGCAAACGGTACGTCATCGTTAGTTTTTAAATGTCTTAAAATATAATCTGTAACAATACGGTGTATTTGTCTAGTAGTGTTTTTTTTTTTTCAATAATGACGAAAGTAAAGACGTCTAAGATGTACGTGTCTAAAAATTATTTGATTACAAAAAGCTGTCTGACGTGTATATTGACATATATTTTTATGCAATAATTACTTGAATATCCAATAAACGTATGAACAATTATATTTCAGAGTAGAAACGAACGTAGAATTTGGATGAACAGGTAATTAATTAATTAATCCATGCAATTGTCGCTGAGCCATACTATCGAATTCAGACATCTTTGTAAATATCTTACTAAAAATATAACTAAAGTTTGGAGTTTGTGAAATCAGTTTGATTGTTCTAAGCAGAGGGCGGCTTATTCGAAATACTTTTTCACAGATTGCTCTTTCCCGAATTCCCTAAACATTGAAAAAAAAAATTTAAACATTCCAGTGTATCACATTTACATTGGTATACAATAATACATTTTAAAATGTCATATATTGAATAGAGTTTTATTTACATATTTTTAATACTTTCTAAATAATGTTCAGTACGCTATGAAAAAAATTTATCGCAACTTTAATTGGTCGAATTTGGAATTGCCGAGATATTATTTAAATTAAAATAAATAAAGTAACTTAATAAATAATATTTTTGAATTTTGGTACTAAAATAACAAAAATGTGTTTTCAACTCAACTTCAAAAAAAAATTCAATATAATAATACAACATAATATTATGAAGAGTTGTAAACTTATTATAACGAAATTCATCTCATCAAATATATGAATTTATGATATTAGAAAGTTTCTCGTAATTGCAATAACTTATTATGTACATAATATAATTATAATTAAAACTACCCTTACGGTTTAATCTCGCATTTATTATTGTTATCATAACATTAACGACGTGTTACAATTATCTGTCACCACCAAAACCTGTAAAGTCGTAAAAGTGGTTTTAATTACGTCTAAGACTGGTGAATACCCAATAAAATACTATGCAATTACATAATTGTTATATTTTCGTATACTTCAGGCAGTTCTCATGAAACAAAAGTATATTTTTTTTCAAAGGATTGCTGGCTGAAGTCCATGGGTGATTGCATTTAATTATTAAAACAAATTCATTAAACAACTCATCGTACAGTACGTAACCATGTATATACAACTTAAATAACATTATAATACTGGTGTTGTTTGGCACATAAGAATTCACAAATGTATACATTACTTTGTTCTTTTAATATAGATAATTGATTATATTTAAATTAGCTAATATTTTTAATGTTCACTATTGTTTTGTATGAAATTAAATAACATTCATCCCGCGTCAAATGTGCTCTGTTTAGTTTCATTCATCAAAATAGCGAATTAGCTGGTTGACGTCTCATAGGTATATAATTCTTAATAGCTTATGAAAAAATTTGCAACTCTATTTGTAATACTAATCTATATATCGTAAGGTAATGTTTAACAAGGTTTTGAAAACTAATTACGAATTACATAAAAATAAAAAATACTTAATTTCGATAAATAAATACTCTAACGAGTTCAATGCTAGAAAGAATTTAACAAGGAAGAGAGTGGAAGCGGTGGTCAGTGTTAGGTTTGACGAAGCCGTAACGTCGCCTTCCGGATTCCAGTAAAGTGTGTAGTTCGTGTAGATATTTACAACATTTACAATTTGATTCTGATCTGAATGGTACATGAAGCGCAGATTTAAAAAAAAAAAATTTTTTTTTTAAATATTTATTCTTTTTTTTTTGGCGAGGCTTGGGGAGGGCTATCCAGCAGCGACGTCTGTGGGCTGGTAAAATAGATTTTTTTATAGATAAATCTCATTTGTTAGTTGCTTAATCTATATCGGTGGCAATTCTAACTATTTTCGCATAGAATCTCAATATTTGCTCAGCTACTTTACTATAAAACAAATCGTAGAAATAAAGATTGGGTATACAATAGACATTGCACTGATTGGTTATTACTTATATATATACATATTAGCAATTTTTTGGAAGTCCGTTAATTAGCTCACGAGAATCGTTCAAGGTGCTTCGGTGGCTCAGTTAACTATTTTCGCATAGAATCTCAAAATTTGCTCAGCTAGTTCACTATGAAACAAATCCTAGAAATAAAGATTAGGTAACTGCACTGATTGGCTATACATATTTGAAATTTTTTGGAAGTCCGTTTATCAGCTCACGAGAATCATTCAAGGTGCTTCGGTGGTTCGGTCGGCGCGGAGTTCGGCTGGTGCTGCGCGTCGTGCGGCAGTAAGGCCAGCGGCAGCGGCGGTAAGTGCAGCGGCAGCGGCAGCAAGGCCCGCGACTGGAAGCTGGCCAGCGAGTGCAACAGCGCGGCGGAGTGCTCGTGAGCTTTACGCCGCAGCTCGGCGACGCTCGACGACCTCGCTTCCTCTTTGGGACAGCACGGACACGGAGCACCCCAGCCTAACGAAAAGAAATCTTTTGAAAAATTAATATTATCTAGACGATTTTGGTGGTTTGTCTATACGGCCGTGCTTATAATAATAATAATAATAATAATAATGTTTTTATTTCAAGTATCCATGACTCATATAAATTGTTAATAAGACTTAGACCTATGTTAGTAGTTATATTTATATTTTATTAGTTATAGTTATAGTTTTAATAAATGATAGTTTAAAAAAAACTAACAAAATACGCTTTTATAGAAAATCCAACTAAAAAATAGAAAATAAATTTTAAGAAATTTGATTTAAAAATAGTGTAAGTAAATATGATTTTATTGTAAAAAAGCGTGGGGCTATAAGTAGTTATAAATATTTTATGAACAGATATGAGTCGAAAGGTTATTTTGATAATATCCTGAAAAGCACCCCATGTTTTTTTACGATAAAATCATTTTTTCTTACAATATTTTTAATTCAAATTTCTTAAAATTTCAATTTTTTCAATATATATTTTTTAATATTGTATTGTCATCGGTCCTTAATATTTCGAGTTAATCCGACGTTTTGAAGAGGGTCAAAATCATGTTCAAAGATTCCGTTACAAACATACATACATACGTCTGAAGGTAACAAAAGCGTATTAAAAAGCAGTTGTAGGGTGCGGTGTGAGTTTGTTATTTAAAGATTATTTTGCTTAAAAATGTTTATTGTTAAAATATAATATTAAGTAAATCAATGAAATGTTAATGTTATGAATGCACCCGGGTGACGCGGTTGTTGTTGATCTCTAAACTCAAAAATTGTGGTTATTGCGTATATTTTTTAGACTCATCCACTCTAGTGCTCAAAGGATTTTAATGCTAACAGTGTTCCCGATAATCATTACTTTCCATCAGTTTTCGGTATCCTCATGGCTTTACTAGCTAACTCCTAATTGTCTGTCTTTAGACTTGTGACGGGCGTATTGTAGAGTCATACACGGGTTCATCACAATGGTGCCTACTTCTACAACTCTAGTAATCATGTTTTAGGATATGAAGAGTAAAGAAGGCGTGGTACGAATCAATTCAAAATCAAATCAGAAACAGTTTATGCTATATGTTTTTTTTAAATTGTACAGCTGTGATAAGTTGGTATCGGAGCTTATATACGTACATCGCAACCTAAATGCTATCTATCGTCTACTTTGAGACATGAGACTGGAGTCTCACTCAGTGCACTGTATAACGGCCAGAAGGTCAGGTTTAAGGTTTTGAAGCTTTAAATCAAAAGCGGTTCGCGGCAGAAATTAACAGGGTAGTGAAAAATGACTTAAATGACATTTTTGAATGTCATGTTTATAACACGATGTTATTCCTTCATACGTGTCAAGTATGTAGGAGTATTTCTTTGTGAGAAATTTTAAAACAGAAATTTGAAGTTTACGAATATGTACGACATGTAGATAGGAAAATAATTGTCGATTCTACTTCTATTGACGGATATTGAGAAAGCAACAACTCTACAGGAACTTTTGGAAAACTATTCCAAAACAGCTTTTAGGAAAAGCTAAATAAAATCCTAAATAATATAATAGTGTTTCCTGACACTACAAAATCTGAGGTTAACTCACCTTTTAATGGGAAGAACGGCTGTGATAAATGATTGAGATGCTGCGACAGATGTGACAAGTGGGGGGGCAGGAAGAGGGGCGGCGGGTGAGAAGCGGCAGACTCGCTCGGCGCGCCACCTGGCGACGAACGGAACGCACCGGAACTGTTGAACAAAAACATACCTTATATTAATTTTCCTAAAGCCTAATCTTCTTCTTCTTCTTCTACATATATAAAAATTAATTGCTATTCGTTAGTCTCGCTAAAACTCGAGAACGCCTGAACCGATTTGGTTAATTTTGGTCTTGAATTATTTGTGGAAGCCCAGAGAAAGTTTAAAAGGTAGATAAATATGAAAATGCTCGGAATTAAATAAAAATAACAATTTTGTTTTTCCTTTGATGTGGCCCCCGTCGGACGGATTCCTTTTGTTGGTTTTAAGTTTATTTTATACATAAGTTTAGGTCTTTTATTTATCGATTGAGGCACTACGAAGTCTGCCGGGTCAGCTAGTTCTTAATATTTTTTCGAAAATACTTGGGATCTGTGGAATATAAAGTCCTCAGAATCTTCTTAAGAATTCACAGCCTTTTTTTATTACTTAGATGGTTGGACAAGCTCACAGCCAATCTGGTTTTAAGTGGTTACTGAAGCCCATAGACATCTACAACGTAAATGCACCACCCACCTTGAGATATAAGTTCTAAGGTCTCAGTATAGTTACAACGGCTGCCCTACCCTTCAAACCGAAACGCATTACTGCTTCACGGCAGAATTAGGCGGGGCGATGGTACCTACCCGTGCGGACTCTTATGAGGTCCTACTACCAATAAATAATAAGCCTCAGATAGCCTTAACTTTAACATTGTCTCACATTAACAGAATATTCGAATATATGTGTATAGCGACAGAAATATGCCGGACGCAGACACGAATTTCGGGTCGGTACGCGTAACACCAGACAATTTTGAATCAGAAAATTTTGATATCTTCATTGAACCACATTTCCGCATCGGAGGGTGAGGGGTCGTATCGATGTCGGGGCTCGCTTTGACTCCGAGTCCGCGAGCAGTCGACCGACGCGACGCTTCTCCTCCGAAACACCCGCCCAATTCCCAAACGTACTCAAACGTAATAATAATTTGATTTTTCTTTCAATTTATACGAATTCTTTCGGTGTTATTAAATGAGAAACGATTTTTTTTTCGAATTATGCACAAAATTTCATTGTTCTTTGATTTTTCGTGTATTTTTAAGCTATTGCATAGCTTTTATCGCGGGCCTTGAGCGCGGCGACCGAATTATGAAATTCCGTAACGAAAAAAACCTTACACCCCCCACTCCGCCTACCATGTAGCTCGCGTTCAACATATTCTCACGTTGCGTTTGTGTAGTATTTGTGAATACGTGCGCGTGGCGTTACGTCACACTGCATGCGCATCATGAAAAGCCTGCCCATCTCTCTCTCTCGCGGTCTAGCTTATGAGTGTGAAGGGGACAGTTAAGGTTTTGCTTTTATTAATGTTTAATATAGCGTGGTCTTGTTTTATTATTGTTTTAATATTAAATTATCATTGTCTAATTATAATTGCATAAGTTGATAAAAAATGCTATGCAATAGCTTTACCGCGGCAGTTCCCGAGTGCCACACGTTTTTTTTTTTTTTGTCAAGTTGTGAATTAATCTACGAATGTGGAGGTAGTCGTATTAACGCAATAAACCACACTCAATTTTTTTTTTAATTAGTTTAAGAATACACCATAGACAGCTGACCATTCGATGTATTATTTAAAAACTCGAAGCTTATATATCTACACTATTGTGGCGGGTAGCCATCATACAACGCAAGATATTTGACAGATGCCTGAATCTCGCTTACGACATTTTCAATACAAGCTTGCATATATACAAGTTCCGAACAACAAAATTTGGACCGTCGGTCTACCGAGCAATATCATCCGCTCGGTGGAAGATCTTCCCTCCGTCGTTAAGTATTCCCAAACTATATATAATGATATAAATCTTATTTATATTGTGTATCAAACGCTCGGCTTTTCTCCCTAAACCAGTACGATCGCTTTGCGACAAAAGAAAGATCAACAATACCTACTCGTACAATGCAAGCGACCAAAGCGTAATTTTGAAACAATACTATAGCAATCGATCCGAATGAACTTAATTAACTTACAGACACGCGTTGATGTCTTTTAATCTAATCGTATTTGGTCGAAAGCTAATTTCAAATGCAGCAATTTAATATTTTAGTTTACTGGTGGTAGGACCTCTTGTGAGTCCGCGCGGGTAGGTACCACCACCCTGCCTATTTCTGCCGTAAAGCAGTAATGAGTTTCGGTTTGAAGGGTGAGGCAGCCGTTGTAACTATACTGAGACCTTAGAACTTATAGGTATTTCAAGGTGGATGGCACATTTACGTTATAGATGTCTATGGGCTCCAGTAACCACTTAACACCGGGTGGGCTGTGAGCTCGTCCACCCATCTAAGCAATAATTTAAATATATATAATAATTTACTAGCATTCATCGAACGCAATGTAATAAAATTAATGAAAGGCTGCTTCGTTTTTCTTCAAATAAGTTGTATAAATTGAGACCTCCATAGAACTTTCTTTAATACGAATATGTCGTCTTACTTCCCGAAAATTATAGTCTCTGGACGAGGTCAGTCCTCAAAACCTTAACAATAGTTTGAGTGCTGAAATACTCTAACACTGACCATATTTGAATAAAATACCTATACTATAAATAAACCTATGAATTAAGATATCTACCGAAAGCTTGTAAAACGACTAGTGAATCTATTGAATGATTCAAACTCTATCGCACATAGAGAAGAGTGTACCAGAGCAGAGACAATGAAATGAACGGGCCGAGGTGTCGCATCGCTCTCGCATTCCCTTAGTGCATACTTGATGTAGCGCGACCCGGCGCTGTGCGAGACACAAGCAGAAGCGGGTAGCGGGTAGCGGATAGCGGATGTCATTATCTATGACACGTCATACTAGAGAATTTATATATTTTTAATTTGTTATTGCTTAGATGGGTGCACGAGCTCACAGCCCACCTGATGTTAAGTGGTTACTGTAGCCCATATACATCTACAACGTAAATGCCGTCAACCCACCTTGAGATAAGAGTTCTGAGGTCTCAGTATAGTTACAACGGCTGCCCCGCCCTTCAAACCGAAATGCATTACTGCTTCACTGCAAAAATAGGCGGGGTGGTGTTACCCGTGCGGTCTCACAAGGGGTCTTACTACCATATTGTAGCAAAAGAAACAGGCTACGGAAAAAAATAAAAAACAAATTTTGATCTACCTGCAACTAACACAATTAAAACCAGTTCATACGCAGAATCCACGTATTATTTGAGGAGGGATAGATTCCGCCACTTTCGCCTTACATTGCTGGTTTCGCAGAATATGATTTTTCTCTGTCCTTTTTATTTCGGGTCTATAATACTAGCTATAACAGAAATTGAACCCCAAAAACACGTTATTTATGTTCTATTAACCCAAGTTTTTGCCATAGGAGCTTAATGTTTGATTTATTTATTTTATAGAGAAAAAAGAACTGAATGTTTTTAAGCTTACTTCACACATTACACAGATAACAGTTACTGTGGTAACAACGACATTTCCCACGGATTAAATTGCTCAAAATTTAGGTAATTATAATCGGTAAATTCTAACTATTAATCTATTGTTTATTAGATTATCTTCATAGCAGGATAGCAAAAGAACAGATACCGCCGGTTTCATTAACCTTTACAATCACTTTTATAGCATACCTATAGTCAACTAAAGAACTGTGATAACAGTTACTGTGGTAACAACGACATTTCCCACGGATTAGTAAACTCTAACTATTAATCTATTGCTTATTAGATTATCTTCATAGCAGGATAGCAAAAGAACAGATGCCGCCTGTTTCATTAACTTTATCAATCACATTTATAGCATACCTATAGTCAACTAAAGAACTGTGATAACAGTTACTATGGTAACAACGACATTTCCCACGGATTAAATTGCTCAAAATTTAGGTAATTATAATCGGTAAATTCTAACTATTAATCTATTGCTTATTAGATTATCTTCATAGCAGGATAGCAAAAGAACAGATACCGCCGGTTTCATTAACCTTAACAATCACTTTAATAGCATACCTATAGTCAACTAAAGAACTGTGATAACAGTTACTGTGGTAACAACGACATTTCCCACGGATTAGTAAACTCTAACTATTAATCTATTGCTTATTAGATTATCTTCATAGCAGGATAGCAAATGAACAGATACCGCCTTTTTCATTAGCCTTAACAATCACTTTTATAGCATACCTATAGTCAACTAAAGAACTGTGATAACAGTTACTATGGTAACAACGACATTTCCCACGGATTAAATTGCTCAAAATTTAGGTAATTATAATCGGTAAATTCTAACTATTAATCTATTGCTTATTAGATTATCTTCATAGCAGGATAGCAAAACAACAGATACCGCCGGTTTCATTAACCTTAACAATCACTTTTATAGCATAACATTTATAGTAAATGTATACCTATAGTCAACTAAAGAACTAACAATAACGTTGATATTACGTACATGTAACTTTCTGATTAAACGATAATAAACTTTCCCTGGCCCGGACCGTAAGCGCTGATAAAACAAAATTCATCACGTTATGTTTAAAAATAAATAATAGTTTAAAAAAACTAACAAAATACGCTTTTATAGATAATCCAACTAAAAAATAGAAAATAAATTTGAATTAAAAACAGTGTAAGAAAAATGATTTTATTATAAAAAAAAAAGCGTGGCGTTTTTAATTTTTTAGTTGAATTTCATTATTTTTTTTGAGTATTGAATTGTCATCGGTCCTTAATAAGTATACCAAATTTCGAGTTAATCTGACGTTTTGAACGAGGGTCAAAATCATGTTCACAGATTCCGTTACATACTAACGTCTAACATACATACGTCTGAAGCTAATAAAAGGGTATTAAAACATACATATCAATAAAGTAAAATCGCTCGTGAATTCTCCCACAAATTCCCACTGGCACTCGTTCAATGGAATCAAAGGATTTGTGTTCATTAGAGACGGTAATAATTGATGCGCAGCGCCGCGCGTCGCTCAC